GGTTGCCATCTCTTCATAGGACTAGATTCAAGTCTCGACCCTATATAAAGACATCACACTGCAAGTGAAAAGATAGTACAACGAGTCTGAATCATCTCACCGCTCCCTACTCTACTTTTGATAAGCATTGTATTACTTAGTTTTACTGTGTAAACAAAAAAAAAAAAAAAAGAGAGGAAAATTGTTGGTAAGGCGTTATATCAAAATAGAAGAGTGAAAAGAAACAGAGTGTAAACTGTAAAGTTACACTTAACTTTGTACTCTCATCAAAAGTTACCAAGGTTAGAAGAGAACACACTTGCAACCCAAGGGGACTGAACGTAAGATCCACATTGGATCCCAACCAGTATAAAAATTATTGTGTCAAGTTTACTTTACGCATTTTCGATTCCATTCATACTTGTCTGCAATCTGTAGTCGACTGAGGTTCCTCTCAAGTCAACTACTCACAAGAAGAAAATAAAAAAAAATAGCAATTCACCCCCCTCTTGCGCTTTCAACATGTTGGTAAGGTAAATAGTATCCATCATAAATGTTTCAATAGGATGCAAGATGTGATAAACCCACAATCGATCCAATCTTCTTTTGACAAGCAAAGTGAAAAGGCAAAAAGTGATTATCGGTTGCGTTTAAATGCCTCAATTGACGTAGCAATATTTCTCTTGACATCGGGATTTTCATTTCGTGGATATGATGAAAGTGAAGGTCTTGAATATAAAGGTACTTTTCTTGAACTTTTAAAATGGTATGGGGATATAAATTTTAATGTGGGAAGAGTAATATTAATTAGGTAATGCTCGACAAAATTATATGATGATTTGTCCGATAATTCAAAAAGATATTGTGAAGATTGTGCTAAAGAAACAACTAAGACTATCATTGAAGACTTGGACGATGATTATTTTGGAATATTAATTGATGAATCAAATGATGTCTCTCATAAGGAGAAAATGACTCTAATTTTGAGATATGTCAACAAAAGTGGAATGGTGATAGAACAATTATTGGGTAATGTCCATGTAAATGATACATCTTCCAAATCATTAAAAAGGCAAATTATTCTTTGCTTTTGGATCACTCATTATGTACATCCAAAATACGTGGTCAAGGTTATGATGGGGCTAGTAATATGCAAGGGAAAATAAATTGTCTCAAGTCTTTGATTATACAAGATACGTCATTTGCATATTTTATTCACTGTTTCGCTCACCAATTGCAATTGACACTTGTAGGTCTTTCCAAAAAGAATTCGGATGTGGATAAATTTTTTTATGTTCTCACTAATATTTTGAATTCTATTGAAGCTTCATTTGAACACATAAATTCACTTCGACAAGATCAAGAAGATAAGTTGGAAGAGTTGCTTAAATTTGGAGAAGTTCATACATGGCAAGGTTTGAATCAAGAACGTGGCCTCCAACGACCAGGTGATACTCATTGGGGGTCTCATTTTAATTAAAACCTTGGACAACTTCTTGATTTTTTTTTCTTGAATTGTTAATGTGTTTAAGGATATGAAGCGTGATTGTCCATATCATTTTGATAGATTTGCAGCAGAAAATCTTTTGAGCAAGATTTATGAATTTGAATTTGTATTTATGTTGCACTTGATGTTTAAGGTGTTGCTATTGACAAATGAGTTGAATAAAGTTTTACAAAAGAAAGATCAAGATATCATTAATGGTATGGGATTGCTTGACCTTTCAAAGAAAAGATTGCAAATGATGAGAGAGGATAAATGAGACTATCGATGGATGAGGTTAGCTTATTTTGTGGTAAACATGGTATTTCAATTCCCAAAATGGATGAAGACTACTCTAATGAAAAGTTGAAGCGTAACAGGTCTAATATTTTGTATTTGCATAACTTTCGTGTGGAAGTATTTTATGTCGTCATTGATTTGGCACTTCAAGAGCTTAATAATCGTTTTGATGTGATGACTAGTGACTTACTCCTCGGTATGGCAAGTTTGAGTCCGGATGATTCATTTGCTAATTTTCACAAGGATAGGATAATGAAACTAGCCGAGTACTATCCAAGTGAGTTTGTGATAAAGAGCTTCGGAAACTCAATTTTCAACTCGATGATTTTATTGTCTATGCTCAAAAGTGTGATAGGAAACTTCTCAACTTGAAGGGAATCAAGGATCTTGCAAGAGTGATGATAGAGACAAAACTAGATCAAACTTGGTCATTTGTGTATCTACTTCTGAAGCTAACTTTGATTATTCTTGTTGCTAGCGCAAGCGTGAAAATAACATTATCATCAATGAAGTACATAAAGAATGATTTGCGTAATAGGTGGATGAAGATCTTTTGAATGGTTGTTTAGTTTGCTATATAGAGCATAATACATTACTAAAATGTAAGTAATGATGTCATTATTGACCGTTTTCAAAATATGAAAACTCGCCGAGGACAATTGTAAGTGAATGATGTTTTTTGCTAATATATTACTATATAAAGGTTTCTCCTTGCTCATCAACTTGTTGTCGCCGTAAATTTTATATAATTGAATTAAATGTCTATTTTGAAGATAATGGTGCCCCATGTTCTTGAGATCCTGAATAGGCCTATGTACTTTGTATTGTAACATGCATGTAAACACAATATACTTTGTGTCGTAACATGAAAGTAGACACATTATACATTGTGTTGTAAGACAGATATATACCCAATAAACTATATTTTGTAAATTAGATGTCCATACAATATACTTGGCATCCAAGTATATACATGTCAAATAAATGACTATACAACATACTTGGTGCCACGTATGTACATGTATGTATATATATATATATATATATCATTTTTCATGTAACAAAGAGACAAGACAAGAACAAGTGAAAAAAAACAATGCTACACTATATTTTCTCATTAATCTTTCTTCTTTATTCTATATACATTATCTTTTTTGTTATTTTAGCATTGATACTCATTTCATAACACGTTATCAATATGAAATTTTAACCAAACTAATCATCTCTAGGTTGGGTTTATTCTCTACATTAGAAGAATGTATGTTTCTTTTAAAAGCTAATTTTGATATCGCTACTATGCATACTTGTACATGAATTTTACTGCATATATACTATATTACGCTTTTGTGGCTATGCTCACAACTCAAAAGAAAAAATTGGATAATTCCACCAGTCAATTGCAAACGAAAGAAAAATTTCGACTAACTAGATTATTAATATTTAATGCTCTGTCATATTCTCATTCTGCTTGGTCCGTCAATAGATATTGATTTACTATAATAGTAGACCAAATAATCTACATAAAATATGCTAAATTAATCATATTAACATTTACACGTTGCCCCATTTTTGTGCGTATAAAGATTATACATTAGATTGAAAAATACACTCAAGAATAGAAAAAAAAAATTGCTACTTTTTGTTTCTCTACTTTACTGGTTTTTTTTTTTTTAAAGTTAAGCTCCACTTTTTACGGATTGCTCAAATACCAAAAGTTCAAAAGGTGCTTCAAATTTTGCATAATATTAAGAGTGATTGATGAGGCAATGATATATTTAAGTAGGCAATTAATAAATTTGTCAAGGATAAGCTAGCAATATATTTTTTGCGTTTTGATAAGCTTCCTTCATAATAATAATTACTTTAGTTCTGATTTGTATGTATTTGCAAAAGGATTATGCTAATTTAAGAGTTGACAAAATATGTTGTTAACATATTACGTACATGTCGTTGAAACAATTTAACCTAGACTTTATTAAATCCATTTATCAAGTGTTTATTTAATTTTTAAATTTTGAGGTATTATTTTATTTATTGTGATAATTAGTAACATTAATTTTATTACAAGATACATCAAATAAGTTATGACAATAATATGCATAAATAAAAATTTATACAGTACGTATCATAAGATATTCAAGAAATAAAATAATGATGACATTATTTTTATATTATTTAAAAATATAAGAATAGCTAGAAGAAACTTCTATGTATACCAAAAATAATATAACTAAGTAAGTAATAACAGTCAGATATATTAAATAATAGTTATCAAGTGAACTAACTAAAAATTAAATAGATAAGTAAAAATTAACATGCAACTAAATACATAAGTGTTCATTATATATGAGATATAAACTTAATTTATTTGAAAATAAATGAAAGGACAGTACTAATAACGTATTATGAAATAAAAATAATATACTAAAACTTAAATAACAAAGAGAGATAGATAGAACAGTATTAACTTTTCTTTTACTAATAATATTTTTGATGGGTCTTTCTTTGTACGAAAAAGAGCTATTTATAAGCTTAGAATTTTTTGTGGGACAAAATAAACTATGGGCCCCTTATTATTATTCTTTTTTAAAAAATTTATCACAAAGTTGATCATTTTCTTGGTTATTCTTTTATTATTTTTTTGTTTGAATTTTTTTTGGCGTTCGATATTCGCATTGAAACTTGAATTATTTCGATTTCGCGCCATGTAAAACCCATTCGGAGGGAAGCGCTTCCTACCATAACCAAGAACTTTTTCATATCTTGAACTCGAACTAGAGACCTATGATTAAAAAAGTAGTAACCTGATATGTTATCCAAAAAATATATAATAAACACAAGTACGATATTACCGAATACCGTACCTTGAGTAACTTGATATGTTATCCAAAAAATATATAATGAATACTCTACTTTCAGTACGATATTACCAAATACTGTACCCATACCATATATGTTATTCAAAAATAGAATAACACTCTGCTTTAACAATTACACTGATAGCATACAAATTCTTTACACTATATTAGTATATATAATTTAGAATCTTTTATTATTTAACGTTGATAACAAGATCTATGAGACTTAAAAACACATAATTATAACGTTCAGTAGCAATATCAAAGATATAATAAACAAGGTGTAATTCCACCACAACTTGTTGCACAAACTGCTAAAAAACTTATAACCAGTGAGCACATAACAAACTTATAACAACTTATTCTGGTGATCTGGGAAATTCTTGAGCAGCATCAGACCTTTATCAGGACGCTTTGTCCTTTGCCGGTGACGGAAGCAACTGCACGAGCAAAAATTATTGAGAATATCATTAAATAATAAAAGTGTGATCTCTCTAATAGCTTCAACTTTTAGATGAGATGATTACACACTTAAATGTGGTATCAGAGCAGGCAGAGAGAGGTCTTGAGATCGAATCTCACTGCCACCCAAAATTAAAAAGAATTTCCACGTGCTTGGCCCATGAAAAAGAATCAGGTTTGCATGTGACATGTCACATGTTGCATCCTCAATACTTAACCAAAGCTTGGGGTGCACCCTTTGTAACTTTTTCATCTTTTCATTTTAAATCATGTCTACTTAACTTTTGGTTAAAGAAACATAGGTGATTGATGAAAAGACGAGTGTAGAACTTGTAGTAAGAATTAATACACACCTGATAACATGAAATCAGCGAGCTAACGAATCCAAAGGCTCCCGTTACACGAGGGGTGACTTTCTTGGGTGCCAGTTGAAGTAATCCAACAGCAACCACTATATCTGTGCCTGCCTTAATCAGGGCTAGAGATCTCTCATTCGACTTTTGAAGCTTACTTCGATATTGCTCATTCTGCAATAGAAGATTTAACCAGATATGGAGAACAATCTACAAGCAGAATTTTCAATAGTAACAAGCGAAAATGGTTGAAATTGTCAAACCTTATATTTATCAGTATTCTTTAGTTCCTTTTCTAACTTTTTCATCGATGATGAAAGCCTTCCAAGTTCTCCAATCTGGTGCAAGTAACAATGAACAAAATTAATGGCATAAAACTAAATATTAGGAGCGATAAATCCAATTTACCAATGAGGATAAATAACTTACCTCCACCAAGGCGGTACAAATTGAGGATCCCATCCAACTAAAGAAAGAGATCCTGCCAATTAACTCCGTTTGTTCTTTGTTCTATATAAACAAAAGAAAGAGCGTGAGGATATTTCACCTTCGCGATCTTCATAATAAATTCTGGGATTAATGATACAAAGTAATTTGGTACCTTGTAAATGCCTGATCTTCCAAGCCAGACAAATTGATCCAGAAACAAGTAAGTTGATAGTAATGCATTTTTCGACTGAAATCAAGATGTTTGTTAGCAAGGAAATACAAGAACTAACAAGAAACCGAAAGAATAAATAGTTAGATTCTTTACCTTTCCCAACAAGATGAGTGGAAGTGGGGTTCCTGGGGCATTTGGGCTAATAAGAGCATGAAGATCATTGATAAACTGTAGCACAGCAGAATAAAATGAGACGTAATGTATGAACGTTGAAATGAGAAATCGGAATAGAAATTTTGCTACCCTTAAAACAGACCATATTATGGTTATAAGAAGAATTTCTCTTATCATGAAAATCCATTGTCGAAAGACATAATTAAATAACTAAAAGTGTGTTATCTCTAATAGTTTAAGTTTTAAGTTTTTAGATAAAATAGTCACACACTTCAACATGGTACCAAATTAGACAAAGGCCTTGGGATCAGGTCGCACATGAGGTGGTGTGTTGAAAGACATAATTTAAGTAGATAAAAGAGATTATCACGCATTTCAACATGAGATGATCTCTCAAACAATTTAAGCTTTTAGATGAAATGATCACACACTTCAACATGGTACCAGAGTAAGCGAATCCAAGGATCGAGTCTCATTGCTACCCATTATGATAAAGACTTTCTAGATTCTTGACTAGGAAAGATCAGGTCGCATGTGAGGGTGTGTGTTGAAAGACATAATTTAAGTAAATATTAGTGTGCTCTCTCTAACAATTTAAGTTTTTAGATGAAATTGTCACACATTTCAACATGGTACCAAAGCAAGCAGATCATGAGATCGAGTCTCATTGGTACCTATTATGATAAAGTCTTTCTAGATTCTTGACTGGGAAAGATCAGGTCGCACATGAGGGGATGTGTTGAAAGACATAATTCAAGTAAATAATAGTGTGCTCTCTCTAATAACTTGAAGCATTTAGATGATATAGTCACACACTTCAACACCACAATCCTGACCTTGAAGAGACGGAATAGCTTCCTTGCTAAACTAGTCGATTTATCGACATTTTGAGCAGTCCCAGGCTGTCCATCACTCAGGAATTTTGCACCATATTGTATAGCCCTGCATATCTTGTCTCTTGCCTCTGCTTTGTTCAAATACAATACTGCAAGTGCAAGCTCTGCTCTGGCAACATCTAAGGTGCTCATTTTACTCTAAGGATACTGCAAAATCATAAAAAGCACATGATTGATATAATTTGGAAACGAAAGACAGTATGTAAAGTGGAAATCAAAATGTTATGGCATGTTTCAAAAGATTTACAACCACACACACATGTTTAAGACCACGAATTTCAAAAGTCTTCATTTATTTCTTAATTTCCATGGCGATTCAAACTATATCACATAATTTGAAATGGAGGGAGTACTCAATGATAACAATAACCGAGATCATCTGAGAAGCATGAGATCAGAGTTAACGAAAGTAATAATTTTGTACATCTTTAAAATTTATAAACTTTGACTGTGCATTCAAAAACAGAAACTTTAAGTTTTTTGAAATAAAATTCGTATACTGTTTTTAAAGTTTTTGAAATAAAATTTATATATTTGGAAACTGCGTAAATAACTTAAGGCTCTCAAGGGTACAGTGAATTGCATATAATCAAGTGGTTCAAATTTTAAAACCATAAGTTCAGTGACAGCTCCTAATAGTGAGATAACTAATATGACAAGAACAATTACACTCTATAATTTTAGTAGCTGCTAATTTATAATCAATCAAAAGTTTCACTTGTAACAAATGTTAATATCTAAGTATATCCAAAACAATAATGCCACACCACATGTATCTAGGATATATCTCATATAAAATGCATTATTGCAAACTCAAAAGAAAAATGCAAATTAGTAGGGCCAAACTTATTATAATTTGAAATTTAGTGGAAATAATAAAAGAAACTTTAGCTTGTAGGGCAGGACAGGGCGGGTGCCAGGGAGGAATGGCATGAAATTTATGGATTGAGACAAAAACTCGCATCATTGTCATCCCTATTCAGAAATATGACAACTTTGACCTTAGAGATCTAATAAGCACAAAAAAAAAAATTAATCTTTCTATCCTAGTTTAAGTGACTTACTAACCTTTCTAGTCTGTCTCAAAAATAGTATATTTTCTCATATTTAATAAGTTTTTAATTCCAACATTCAAGATCACACGATTTACACAGATAAGATCGTATGATTCAAAAGTCTCTCTTTATTTCTTAAACTTCATGTCCAGTCGAATTTCATATATTTGACTATCTTTTCCCCCAACAAAAACATAAACTTCAATTAACCAAAGTAAATACATAAATGTTCAACTAACTTTTGATAGATAAACTAAAACTCAATTTATACTCACAAGACAAGAATCTCATAATTCAAACAAAATATTAAAGAAAGAGAGGATGTTTTACAGTATAAAGTCCATACCAGATGAGGATAATAATTGTAAGCAGAGTTGGTCAATTTTGCAGAGCTCTTGGAATAGGCATGTAAACAAAAATACTTATTAAGTAGTAGTAGTAGAATATATGAAAAACAAATGAAGAAGGAGCTTAGTGGTGTATGTGAAATATAAAATACAAATGTAGAGTGATGTGTCTGAACTTTCCTCTTATTGTAATCTTGTGTATATGATTGATTAGAGGGTATGTGGGAGACACTTTCTGATGATAAGGCCTTTGGTTGGCCCTCTCTTTTTCATTTTGGATAATTTTAATTTTAATTTTGTTTATTTATTCTGTGTAAGAGAGCTGATTAATTTGTGTTGGGCTTGGGTTGGTCCAACCTTTCTACTTTAGTTATTTTTTTAGGAAAAACAGCCCTCTTTCTTTACAAAATAAATAAGGATACATGCCCCTTTCCTTGCAATCAAGTGTTATATGAAATAACAAATTATTAATTTAAATTAAATGTTATAGCCATAGTTTATTTTAATTGTAATTCGCAACAAACATTTCCTTTTATTGACATCTAATTCGATATACAATTAGTCATTTTCGTTATACAATTAGCCATTTTATACATTTCGGTATAAAATGTATAAAATGCGTTTGTGTTTGTATAAAGCGAGAGAAAAATGTGTATACAAATACAAATGCATATATTTTTGTCATATACACTTATAATTATACAAATACAGATCTTATTATACAAGTTACAATGTATAAATGAATTTATACAAAACTGAACAATTTGTATAAAATTGGATGTTTGTAGCGAATTATACAAATCAAAAACTCCACAGCAAACATAAAATTTGTTATAGAGCACAATTATGCAAACTATAGCTCTAACATGCAAATATGATTTTTATGTTTGCTGTATGTGAAAGTTACTCTTTTTTTAATTTCTTATTTAGTGTTCGGTACTCATATTGGACTTGACTAATTTAAATTCGTACATTCCAGAGTTTATTTTTTCTTGTTGATTAATATAATTGGATTAATTATTTAAATCAAATAAATATGAATTAATTAATTAAGAGGAACTTTTAAAATGATTATAATTTGAGCTTAATTAGAGATCTTTAGTTATAAGCTTGATTAGTTTAAATTTGTGCCTTGCAACGCCCTATTGATCATATGGTGAAACTTCCAACAATATTTTTTCATATCAAATTACAAACTCAAATGAAGAATCTCAAACATTTCACCACAGTCTATTTTTTTTGTTTCTTTAGCTTTCACCAACGAAAAAATTTACAATGGTAGAGTCCAACCAACAATAGTTGTGTGACCCTCCATTAATTAATTGACACTTGGATAATGAGTCCACTTCTTTACCTTTTTACCATCTCTCTCTTACTCACCTTTATTTTCTTTCATTTTTTTTTCTCCTAATAAATATCTAATTCTCAAAACATAATTAAATAATAAATACATTTGATAAAAAAAATATCGATAAATACATTTTCTGTTAAAATAACTTAAACACTTGTAAAATTGTTAACATTAAAAATAAACTTATTTTTCAGTATATTTAATAGAATCAAATTAACTCAAAATACAAAGTAATTTTCTTTAGCATATAAATTGATTTGATAAGACTTTTTTTTAATCTTATTTTGAAATTACATATACTTTTTCTTTCACCATAACCATATTTAAATATAAGAATGACAACAAGACAGAACAGGATAGGGAGTGGCGGACTCATAAACGTTTTAAAAAAATTTATACAGGTGACGCGGGTCACACAACGAAATTTAAGTCTTTTAAATTAAAATTTACAATGCTTAATTTATTTTCAAGAATCAATCGGTTCCATATAATTTTAAATTAACTACTCATTATGTTGTTATTATTATTATTATTATTATTATTATTATTATTATTAGTATAATAATAATAATAATATCATTCAACCTTAATATTATTAGAATTCATTTTTCGTGTCTTTACGTACATTCAATTATAATATATATTTTCCAACGTTTTTCTATTAAGTATTTTAAAAAATTATAACTTAAATTAAGAAAAATAACGAATTGTTAAGAGAATGACTATAAATATATGAATTAAACAAAATTAAAATAACAATGACTATAAATATATGAACTAAAACAGAATTAAAAAAAAATATGGAAAACTAAATTTGAATTAATTTGTTTTTTTAGGTGCTAGTAATTGAGAAAACACTAAATATTTTTTAGTTAATTTGATATTATTAAAAATATTGAATGATATGAGTATTTTAAATACTCAGTCCTAAAAACATTTTTAGTTATTGTAATAAAAAATATGTTTATTAATTCTTTTATTCAATATATCAACATCTTAAGAAAATGAAATTAAGAAATATTTATTAGGAGTAAGAAAATAAGAAAATGAATGAAAAGAAGGGTGAGTAGGAGAGATATGGTAAAAAGGTAAAGAAATAGACACATTATTCAAGTGTCAATTAATCAATGGAGGGTCACACAACTATTGTTGATTGGACCTCTACCATTATAAAAATTTTCTTCACCAACTAATTTACCGTTTGTTTGTTTCTGTATGTCCTTGTTTCTTCGGTCATAAAAAGAGTATTTCCCCTTCGATATAGAGTATGTTCCCTTCTTTTGGTCACAAAAAAAGCTTATTCGATCTTTTGAAAGGAAATATAACTTCCGCAAAAGCATTTGCAAAGAAATTTCATTGGATATATAATATTTTAATATGATGTGTTTTGTAATGATAATAATATCAGTTGAATATATTCATTATTCGTTGTTCTTAATTTGCATTTTCTTATTTCAATTTTTATATCGTACATTTATTATAATATTTCTAAGCATGAGATACTTAAGTTATCAAATGAATTTTGAAAGCAATATACCAATGACTTCAATTATATAATTCTTATAATATCTTAAATATCAATTTGATTAATTCTTTTAATTTGTCACAACACCTAATTTAAATATCGACGCCCATGATTGTAAACATTTCATGTTTTAAAGTTTTTTCCTTCTATTTAAAAGACAGTTGCTTCCTTATACATATCAAGAAATTGTTGTAAAATAAGAGCAATGTTTTGAAAAAAAAAATTATATAGAAATTCGATTAACATATGCTTTTCTTAAATGACTAGCCGATCATTATCAACTTTGTGGCAGATATGTACACAGAAATAGTAATTATTTTTTGATAGAAAGTTGTTGAAATATTTAATTGATGTATATTAATTATATAATTATACATATATGTATGCTTCGTTTCCTTCGTCTAATTCAAAATTATTAGTTCTGTCATTTATAAATTTGACCATAAAAACATTACATAAATTGCATAAATTAAATATGATTTTATTAATATTATTACGGTCGTCTCTTTACACATTGATACATGCATGACAATTGGAAGAAATTAATTTCGAAATTGATAGAAGTCTCAGCAAAGCAAATCAAAGGAACCACCAAGTAAAATGGGGAGAAGTTATCCTATCACAGGTTAGTTTTCAAAATTCAAGTGGATATTTGGAGATTATTGGTGAAGACTATATATCCAAGATTGCAACAAATCCCTACAAACTGGTCAACTCTGGTGGAATATTGTCATTTAAAATTTAAATATGAATTAAATTAAGAGGAACTTTAAAAATGATTATAGTTTAGGCTTAATTAGAGATCTATAGCTATGATTTACTGAATTACGATTCATAGCTACATGTTTGGGGAGGAGAGAGGCTAG